CACTGATTTACAAGGTACTGAACAGAAGGGAAGTTCGGATGAAAAATATTTTGTGACGCAGAAGCTTGAATGTACTGGCGAAGAACGTATATGGTCCATGCCGGCACACTCAATTTTTGTATGATGTTTCGCAAATAAAATATTTTTTTGTTTTCTCTTGATTTTTCCTCTGTAAACATGTCAACATACCATTGAAAAAATTTACCGATTTATACGGTTGGGTTAAAACAATATTTGTTTTAATTTGAAACATTAAATTTCGATTTTCATAAAAAGTGTATTTGTGGACTCTTGTCCACAGATACAGTTTGTTTTTCTCCCTAACTTCACATATGCAAGTTTGGAATAGAGTCGGTTCAAGTTGTTTTTATATTGATATAATGTCGTGTCGGGTCGACCCTCAGTTATTATGTAAATATTCTTTCCTTAGAATAAGTATGAAATGGTCTACTGATTTATGAGGTAAAAACTTAAGACATTTAACGAAAGCTTAATCTTTTACGGTATAAGTACAGAGGCCTAGTCTGTACTCATAGACAAATAATACAAATAAACTGACTGCTAATATACAGTCACGTTCCCCGAGTGCGACAGAGAAAACTGCAAAGCAGTCCCTGCATCTCTTTCTAATAGGAGTATATCGACCAAGTGACCTATTCATTGGTTATTTGCTGCTTTTTATCAGTTTTCTCTGTCGCCTTGGGAAAACAAGACTGAATTGCAGCAGTAAGTCTATTTGTATTATACGTCTGTAGTATTAATAAAAAAATATGTTAGGTTATAATACACACAACTCAACTTATATGGAATCACCATGTATTTCAAACTAATATTTATTTCATCTTTTATCAACGTATGTTTGCCTTGCAATTTTTAGAATGCTCAGATTATAAGCAGAAATCTGAATTGTGTTTCGAAACTATTTTACGGATTTTATTATTAGATGTCGCTATTGCGTCCGTATTGAAGCCATTTACTGCTTTACTGCTTCTTAAAAGACAGAAAATATTAATATTTCACGTTGAGAACACCTATGAATAACTGTTCTGATGAGACCTATTAGGTCGAAATACGTATCAACAGATACATAGGCGCTTTTTGCGTGAAATCAAATATTTGCTGTCTTTTTCATTTTATTCGGATATACTCTGTGTGAGTACGAGAAACACAATTCGCTAAGGATTTCTGCTTAGTTGTAAAGACATGTCGTGGAATGCAAATTTTAGATTCCCCATGTCCCTTTTAACATCTTTTATCAACGTCTGTTTGCCTTGCAATTTTTAGAAGGCTCAGATTATAAGCAGAAATCTGAATTGTGTTTCGAAACTATTTTACGGATTTTAATATTTATTTCTTTTGAAAAAACTTGTTATTGTTGCGAAGAATAAAGGTTTTTATTGAAAATAAACAAACCAATAAAACAAGCAAATAATACTGCCGGCACGGTACAGATTATTTGTTTTACTTGTAAATTGAAAGAAAATAAGTATGTAAACTAACTTTCGCTTTCAAAAAGGAAAATATGCCTTACGTGGTGTTAACGAATGTATAAAGGAGAAAGATTACTGGTCTTGTGGATCAACGAATGTCTCAGAGAGACATAGCTACGTAGGCTATATGTAGGTATCAGGAGTTCGGAACGCTTAAGAATAGACCAAGATAAAGTCGCCAAAAGTAACAACGGCTTGCCACGATAGTTTTATTGTCCAAGTAGCTAGAAGAGACCCAACAATTTCTCACCCGCAACTCAAAAAGCAGCTTTTTGAAGGTACAGGTGGAAGTGTTTTAGTTGAAACGATAAGAAGAAGACTTAGTTACGTCTAAAGAATAGATAGTTACGGATTCCGAGTTAACCAGGCAGCATAAGATTGATCGCCTAAATTGGTCACTTCAATACTAAAACTGGAACATTGGAAATTGGCAAAATGTGCTTTTTTCAGACGAAACGGCCCGTGAAAAAACTTCTTTAATTTCCATTCAACCATTTTTAATAGTTCGCAGGTATGTTGATTTGGTTCTAGACCCTGCACAGACTCTGAAAAAGTGCAGTAGAAAAAAAAATAGTTTTTATGCATGATAATGTACGTCCACATACCAGCAGAGTCACTACAGACTTCCTTGAAGCAAAAGATATCGCTTTTCTGTAGTGGCCTGCTTGCTCAGCCGACCTTAACCCTATAGAGCATTTGTGGGATATGCTTAAAAAAGAATTAGACTTCGCCGGGATAATCCACAAAACACTGTACAACTAGTAGAAGTTGTTCTTGAAGAAAGGAAACCACATACCACAATAAAATGTTGGGAGGATACATGAGTTTTTTGTCTCATTTCCCATACATGGGAAACAATGTACTATGGGTTTCTTTAATTTTCATATATTGGTGATTAAATTGCTTTAAAATAAATCTCGTGACTTCGTAGATTGGTTCTTTTTAATTCGCTTAAAATAATAGGAAATCTCAGATGGTTCCATGTAAGTTTGATTGTGTGAATTTTTTACAAGACAATGTTTCAAAAGCAAAATAAACAATAATTACTATTTAACTGGGAATAAGCCACAATTAAAGATAAAAATACGTTTATTGACGTTTCAATTTCCACTTCGGAAATCGTTCTCAAAATACAAACAGTAAATTAAACAAATTTTGTTTTTTGTTACATAGTGAAAAATTCTTCTAATAATTTAATTTTATCTGACTCATTTATATTGACAATTCAGACATACATTATGCATTTTAAAGTAGACGACTTTAAAATGATATTGCCAATATTGTTGAGTTGCGCTCCTGGGACGACTTTACTTATAAGATAGTTCATTCGATTACATGAAATCAACTTTAACTTGCGAATATCCGTCAGAAAAAAATCATAGCATGTAATTCGTCTTTAAAAAGACAAACACATGACATGATGACAGTAAAATTCTCCTATTAGTGATTCCATAGTAAATTATGAGGGAAAAACCAGGAAAAAAACCTCATAATACTATCCCGACATTGTAAGTATTTGTTCGTGAATTTAGTTTACCTTCAACAAACATCAAAATTCTGATTTTATATGTTACGTTATTTAAAAAACATAAATGATGTATCCTCTATATGTTACTGACTTACTAATACTGGTATTTTCTTATTAATAACTTCCTCTTTCAATATTGGTAACCAGATCCTACTACATTCTGCCGAGGAATTTGCGACACAATTGGCCTCATTTAGCATAATAGAGCCGCTTCTTTGATTTTTCTTTTTTTACCATCCGTTTCTTTTAGGACTACATTTGGATTATTCCATTGAACCCTATGTTCATTATCCCATGCGTGTTTACATATTTGAGATCTGTCAAATTCTCTATTTTTAATATAAGATTGATGTTCACTTATTCTAACATTTAATGGCCTTGATGTTTCACCTCAATAAAACTGATCGCATTCACAAGGTATTTTATAAATGCAATTTTTTGTCCTTTCTTGTTCATTGTTAGACATAGGGTTCAATGGAATAATTCAAATGTAGTCCTAAAAGAAACGGATGGTAAAAAAAGAAAAATCAAAGAAGCGGCTCTAATTATGCTAAATGAGGCCAATTGTGTCGCAAATTCCTCGGTAGAATGTAGTAGGATCTGGTTACCAATATTGAAAGAGGAAGTTATTAATAAGAAAATACCAGTATTAGTAAGTCAGTAACATATAGAGGATACATCATTTATGTTTTTTAAATAACGTAACATATAAAATCAGAATTTTGATGTTTGTTGAAGGTAAACTAAATTCACGACAAATACTTACAATGTCGGGATAGTATTATGAGGTTTTTTTCCTGGTTTTTCCCTCATAATTTACTATGAAATCACTAATAGGAGAATTTTACTGTCATCATGTCATGTGTTTGTCTTTTTAAAGACGAATTACATGCTATGATTTTTTTCTGACGGATATTCTCAAGTTAAAGTTGATTTCATGTAATCGAATGAACTATCTTATAAGTAAAGTCGTCCCAGGAGCGCAACTCAACAATATTGGCAATATCATTTTAAAGTCGTCTACTTTAAAATGCATAATGTATGTCTGAATTGTCAATATAAATGAGTCAGATAAAATTAAATTATTAGAAGAATTTTTCACTATGTAACAAAAAACAAAATTTGTTTAATTTACTGTTTGTATTTTGAGAACGATTTCCGAAGTGGAAATTGAAACGTCAATAAACGTATTTTTATCTTTAATTGTGGCTTATTCCCAGTTAAATAGTAATTAATTTACAATGCCACAAGAAAATAGCTTCAGAACAATACAAAATAAACAATGTTTCTCGATATTTGTTTTTCCTCCCAACGTGTTTCGATAAACATTGCCTTCGCCAACCAAGTTGGAGTTTCAAAGTAATTGAGAGTTTAACTGGAATTCCGCCTTCTCGTTAAGTTAATGTTTGATGAAATATGTTACGGTGACAAACAAATACAGGGGAGTAAGAAATGCCGAAAATTCTAAGTTATAGGATTTATAGGCAGTTTTTTTTTAATGCTTACGCGAAAATTTTTGCAGACCAGATATGGAATGACCAAAGCACACTTTAGTTAAAAAAATTAAGATACCTTCACAGAAATTTAAAACAATCGGTAAACTATCGTAGGAATAATAACATTTGCATGAGAAGATGTTGTTCTTCCGCTTCTTTCAGGGATTAGGCACATAATATTGAAATCTCTCAATTTTAAAATCAATGTTTTATCTTTCCCGAAACTTGTGTACCATCCTTGATTGAAATGACTCACTTATTCGAGTGGTAGTTCTTAGCACCTTAGAAAAGATGAAAGGTATAAAGCTTAAAGGTAAATACAAGAAAAGATCTTGTTTTTTTACAAATGCCTTGTCTCATATGATTCCAAATTTACTTCAAAATGTTTAAATGTTTAAAATAAAAAAAAATGGACTATTGGAAAATTAGGTTGGTGTTATGGCAACAAAAAAATCAGAACACAAGCATAAAACTAAGTAAAAACTATCATATCTCGCTACCGTTTACATGTAATTCAGCAGAATACGACGACCTCCCGGCAGAATTTTCTGCCGAACAAACATAAACGCCGCGGTGACGTGCTTGCACCATATCTATACTAATGGTACTCATTTTCTTCCCCAACTTTGTAACCAGTATTCCGTCTTGAAGATTGACGGTTTTATTATCGTGAGACCATGTAATGTTAACGGGCAAATCTCCTTTATGTACGTTACAAGTAGTGGATGCTGAATCGCCCGAATTAACAGATGAGTCTCCAAAATCAAAGTGAAGAATTTGAGGAAGGACTATAACAATTAAAAAAAAATTAAATGTTTTGGATACCTATTGTGCTATTTTATATGTGTTTTCTAACTATTCTATATTTATTGTAAAGATTTGAGGAAAGATGCAAGGTAATTGCAGCCAAATTTAGCGAATAGGAAGAATTTTGATATCAAAATGTCTCTATTAACGATTGCATAATTCCGGAAGAAATGTCTTTTTCAGTTTGTAAGGACTCTTTTATGTGTTTTGTCTTTTATTTTGCCTTTGATGAGGAGCTTTTTTAATGGTGGTAAGACCCGATTTGAAGGTCGTTTCACATTTTTTACCATCGATCAAGCATATTCAGTCATCTTATAGGTTTCCAAAATGAGTGGATGACACAGGAAAACCTATACCTGATGGAAGTTCTACGGAAACATAAAAATATAAATATTAACAAATGCTGCGAAATCAATAAATTCGTAAAAACAAAATAAAGCAAGCTAAACAATTTTGGCTCGCGAACTCTATCTTTAGACTTAGAATATACTTTATTCAGTTAGTGAGGAATACGGCCTGAGCCTCAACTTCAAGAAGACAACGTGGATGCTGATAAGCAAAAAGCAACAACCTGCTCGACAATTACGGATAAGTAACATACTAATTGACCATGTAGAATCTTATGTGTACCTTGGCACCAACGTAAATGCAAAATGGGAACAGACCATAGAAATTAAGGCAAGAATAGAACGAGCTAGAGCAGCATTTAGCAATATGAAAAAGCTCCTCATAAGCAAGGATTTGTCTCTTCCCCTAAAACTACGTATAGTTAAATGCTACATTTTTCCGATCTTGCTGTATGGCGTGGAGGCCTGGACGCTGACGGAGACGCTAACGAGAAAACTAGAAGCATTCGAAATGTGGGTGTACCGACGCATTCTTCGTATATCCTGGACCCAACATGTCACCAACATAGAGGTAGTCCAAAGAATCGGAAAGGAGAAAGAAATCGTGAATACAATTAAACAAAGAAAGCTTGAATATCTAGGCCACATATTGAGACACGGTAAGTACCGTCTGCTACAATTGATTGTCCAGGGAAAAATAGACAGTAAGCGAGGGCCAGGCAGGAGAAGACACCCGTGGCTCCAAAATCTGTGGAAGTGTTTCGGGCTCACATCGGTCGAACTATTCAGAAGCGCCGCAAACAAGATCAAAATTGCCATGTTAATAGCCAACGTTCGCAACGGACAGGGCACTTGAAGAAGAAGAAGAAGAACTTTATCTCGCGAAATACATCACTGGGGAGATCGATCAATTGGCAGTGATATAAACCAAGATAGAATATGAAAAAAAGGTCTCTATAGAATAGTTGGGCATCAGGAATAGTCTGCTAAAAGACCTAATTAATTAAATGAAGGAAATACGAACACTGAGTTCAGAAGAGAAGGATCTAAAGAACAGTTTAAAGAAAGAACTTAAAGAAGCAAAAAAACTATGACTGAGCTGAATTGCAGGATGAAATTATAAAAATAAAGCGAACCACTTAGGAGTAACAGTGAAAAACTAGATACAAGCGACGAGATATGTCAAAAACAGGAAAAGAACCAAAGTATAAAAGAAGCATTAAACCACATATAAAGATACATGGCTGCCACAGGGAAAATCAAAGAGAGAAGAAAGATTTATAAAAGACGGAAATATGAGAGAGGAAAAAATATGCGGATGTAAGAAAGAAATCAAAGAAGGACAAAAACCGAAATAAGCGAAATATATAAAAGTGCTACGATAATGGCTCAAATTAGATTCCATAGAATACGGTGACTGCGCCATGTAGAGAGAATGTTTCAAACAAGTTGCATTAAGAAAAAGAATGATACGATCAAACAGAAGAGGAAGATACAATGGCTGACAGCAGTGGAGGAACATTTAGAGAAGCTAAACATTAGAAATTGTAACGCTAGGACAAGGTTCTTCAATCAAACTGTATTGCGCAAATCTGGTTTAACTTTTTGACGTAAATTCATAGTTTTTATACTAACAGAATATTTTTTATCTAAGGAATCAGTCTATACTAACTAGAGATTAATAGATTTGCTTATACTTGTGCCAATGTTCAAATTTTGACGAGTAAAAGTTATTTTTAGTAAAATAAAAGTTTAAAATAGGTCAAAAAATAGAAAAGGTTGGGTAAAAGTATGGTCATAAAAAAAATAAAACTACTGAAACATATTAACGGCTTCTTGTTTTATTTTCGTTGATTTTTTTGGACATCCAGTATATACACAATCTTTTTCAATCTATTCATCTAAAACTTTCTTTCTGTGGATTAAATTTGTATAAAATCTACTTTTCTATAAGTCCTTCTAGGAAAACTTGTCTATATTAGAAATATTTATCGTTTTATTCATCTTAAAGCAGGGTATACAAAAATTCCAACAACTATTTTGGACGCAATTTGGATTTGGTTATGTTTTGGGTTTCTAAGACGAGAAAATTACTGGAAAAATAACTAGAAGTAATAGAGGACAAGTATGTTCAAAAAGAACTTAGAAATTTTTATCAATAAGTGAAAAAGACACGAGTGACACAAAAGAAGAGCACAATTTCTTGCAGAAATAAAGATGGTATGTTACTAGGAGACAAGACAGACAAATTAAACAGATGGGAAAAGTATTTCGAGGAATTATTAAACGATAAAGGCTAAACAGAAACATAACAACATCACAAGAACCGGCAAATAAGGAGGTAATAGAAAAAATAAAAGACCTAAAAAATAATAAAAGTGCAAGAGAAAGCGGAGTATCAGCAGAAATATTAACAGTTGGGAGAGATATACTGCAGCTCGACTTATTATAAAAATTTGGGAAGACGAAAAATGCAAGAGCAATGGAACACAGTACTCATCTGTCTCGTTCACAAGAAAGGTGTTAAAACTGTCTGTGAAAATTACAGAGGAATCGCACTATTAGAAGAAGTATTTAAAGCATTAGCAAAAATTATAAGTAGTAGAATCTAAACTTACGAAACAGGAATAATAGGAGAATACCCGGCTGTTTTCAGACAGAGAAGAACAAAAACCAAATTTTTATGCTACAATTATTACAAAACAACAGTTACGAACAAAATCTAAGGTTTGCATCTTATGCTCTGTATTGATTTTAAACAGTATTGATTAATGAGATCACTAGGAATGCCAGAGAGACTGATACGATTAGTTAAACTGAAGGTTTGAAACAGGGAGACCCCTTTTTAATAGATTTGTTCAGGCTAGTACTAGAAAAAAATAATTAAAGGAGCCAAGATCCAGACAAGCGGCACTATTATGAACAAAACACATAACAGTGCATAGGTTTCGCACATGACTTGGTATTTCTGACATGTTCAAGAATAGAACTTCCAAAAATGTTCAATTGTAGAAGAAGCCTGACTATAAATCACGAAAAAGCTATATGGAAATAAGTATATGAAAATAAGAACGTCTCCAAGACGGACGATGGAACAATGCCATCGGAAAGTGGCGTCCATACAATGCAAAGAGATCAAGAGACAGACCACAGATGAGGTGGAAAGATGACATCAGGAAGCAAGGAGGTCCCATGGCAGAGAACAGCTCAAGATAGGGAAAGGTGGAGAGAACTGGGGGAGACCTATATCCAACAATGAAAGGATAGAGAATAGGTTCAAAAAAAAATGGAAATGAAAGGAAAGGGTATAGGGAAAATGCAGGAGAAAAATGGATTACTTTAGGATTACTTTAAGAGAGAAATCCGTTGTTGAAAGGTAAGAAAGCAGTAGGATCATTAAAGTTACTGTTGAATACACAAAACGTACGCAGGACAGTCGAATAGTGAGACCAACGGTGCTGTATGCATGTGAAACTTGGACAAGACAATTTTGAGAGAAAAATCTAGAGAAACATTTTTGGTGGTATAAAGAAGGCTAATGCAGAATAGCACATAAGAACAAACCAGAAACTAATGGAGATGCATAAGAGAATCAAAATAACACAGAACATGAGGTTACAGAGAGTTAGACGGTTGGGGCATGTTTTACGATTGCCAAAAGAAAGAAACATCCTAAGAGTTCTGCAAGCAGGAGCACAATTAAAGAAAAGAAGAGAGAAACCGAGAGAGAAAAAGAGGCGGAATACATCCAGAGTTGATTAGATATGGATCATCAAAACTGCGTGAAATGATCCGAAAATTATTTGAAAGATGCTTAAACGGAGAAGAAGTTCCAGAAGAATGGAGACAATCATATATCTCTCCAATACACAAGAAAGGCACAAAAACGGATCCTAAAAACTTTAGAGGGATCGCAGTGATTGCTACTATAGGCCGATTATATTCAAAAGTACTGAGAAACCTGATAGAAAATGATATTAAAGATAAACAACCCGAAGAACAAGCGGGATTTAGGGCCGGACGCTCCACTATGGATAATATATTCACATTAAAAATTGCAATGGAAAAACGAGTGCAGAGAAATAGAGAAACCCATATAGCTTTAATAGACCTGGAAAAAGCATATGATAGTGTACCGATCTCCCAACTATGGATAGAAATGGATAACTTGAAAATAAACCCAATTCTTATTAATGCCACTCAAAAATACTACGAACAAAACTTTGCAAGAATTAAAATGGGACAAGAAATCACCTCTCCTTTTCAAACAACAAAGGGACTAAGACAAGGCTGCTGTCTGTCACCCACCTTATTTAAAATCTATTTGGACAGATCCTTAGTGAAATGGGTAAAAAAATGTAAAAACATGGGAATAACGGTGGAAGAAAACACGCTATATACACTTTTCTTTGCGGATGACCAGGTAGTAATTGCTGAAAATAGCTACGATCTTAGCTATATGGTAAGAAAACTACAAGAAGAATATGAGGTGGCAGGTCTAAACATGAATATGACAAAATGTGAATATCTATCAGTGGGAACAGATGAAATACGTGACCTAGTCTTGGAAGACGACAAAATCAAAGGCGTACAATCCTGCAAATATTTGAGGGTCATTTTCAATAAGAAGGGAAATAGCGCAGATGAAATCAGGGAAAGAATAAACAAGGGTAGAGCAGCGACCCGTGCCTTAAACTCTCTTCTCTGGCGAAAAACAATTCGACGAGAAACCAAAAAACACATTTACGGTAGTATAGTCCAAAGTATTACACTTTACGGTTCGGAAGTATGGGACGTCACCAAAGCTAATAAAAACAAACTTATGACGACAGAAATGGATTATCTGAGACGAAGCTGCGGTAGATCGAAACTAGAAAGAGTTAGGAACGAACAAATAAGAAACGAAATGAAAATGGAGCGAAATATCAATGATGACATAGAAAGAAAACAATTAATCTGGTTCGGACATGTTAAAAGAATGCCAGAGTACAGATGGCCTAAAAGAGTACTGGAATGGATCCCTCTTGAAAGAAGAAAGAGAGGACGACCACGGAGAAGTTGGCGCAACGATATTGATGAAGCAATGGCGGCAAGAGACTTAGAAGAGGCAACTGCGTATGACAGAAAAAGATGGAAATTGGGGGCGGAGAAGCGGCGAAAGCCGTAATCAATACGTTATTATATATGGAGAGAAACCACGAAGGAAGTAGTTGGATACCATCCGAACTGACAAAAGAAATGGGAACAGGGGACTGGAGAGAACAAGTGAACGATCGAAAAAAGTCAAGAGTATCGAAGATTAGGGCCTCGAGGCCTGTAGGGCTGTTGGGTATACAAGGGGCTCTTTTCAATACCAGTTTATTTGATTAAATCACAAGAAGGCATTTGATATTAAAAAAATAATAAGCCTTAGATAATAGAGACCTAAGAATCATCTGTAATATCTACCTCATCAAAATGTCAACATTAAAGTAGATCACCGGTAAGACAGGAGTGCATGCTATCCCCATTGTTTTTAACTTAAAGTTTGAATATATCTTCACACAAATACTGAAAGAACAAAAATAATGTATATTAGTCAACGGAGTGTACCTCAATGCCTTCAGATACGTTGACAACTCAGTAGTGTACTAGTTTAGAGGGCTTTAAAGAATAATACCACGCATATCAGATATCAGTGAAGAGTACGGACTGGACCTGAATAAAAAAAAACAAAATACGTGCTAGTGAGTAAGCTCGAAATACAGCTTTTGGTCAGCCAACAGCCATTTGATGAGGTCGATACCTGCACATACCTTGGTTCAATATAAAGAGACAATGCGATCCATCCATCGAAATGAAAAAACCGCAAAGGAAAGGCAAAATCAACATTCGTAAAGATGACACCTATCAGTAGTCATAATTTACCACTCAGAACCAAGATCTCCATTCTCTGATGTTATGTTTTATCTACCGTATTGTATAGAGTAGAATCTTGGACGTTTTTTGATGCTTCTTTAAAAAAAACGCAAACAATCTGAGATGTGGTGTTTATACGTACTCTTAAGAATTGCATAGGAGGACCGGATGCCTATGGCGAGGTTGTGCGTAGAATGGAAAAATGTGAGATCATTCATACATTTAAAGGGAGCAAATATAATACTTGGGTCGTATGCCACATTATGATTATTCTATGTTTTGTTATATTACTTTTTTTTCTATATTAAGCTAATTTATTGATTTCAAAACTTGGAGAAACATGATGTCAACATAATTATGGGAGATTTTAATTCCAAAATAGGGAAGGGCAGCTTTGAAGATGTAGTTGGACCCTATGTTCTTGGAACAAGGAACGAAAGGGGCGACCGACTTATACAATTTTGCCAAGAAGAAAACATGAGAGTTACCAATACATGGTTCCAACTCCACCCCGTCGCTACATCTCTCAGAACATAATAAGAAATCAAATAGACTTCATTCTTATCAACGGTAGATTCAGCACAACTGTCAAAAGATAGCACTGGTTAAACTGAAAAACCCAATGATACCAGCAGAAATAAGCAATGAAATAAACGCACAAATTCAAATATTGACGACAAACATTGCCGAAGATCTAACACCAACATGGAATACGCTTACAAGTGTTACGTAACAGACATCATGAAAAACAACTTAGGATACAAACGAAATAACAAGAGGCAAAAATGGATGACAGAAGAAATACTATTACTAATGGAAGAACGACGAAGACACAAGAATAACCAAGATGGCAGCAATATTAATAAAAACATTAACAGGCAAATAAAAGCAAAAAATAAGAAAAGCAAAAAATGAATGGCTTAAGCAACAATGTATCGATCTAGAACATTTACAACGACGACAGCACGACGACCGTAATTTACATAAAAAGCTTAAGGAGACTGCTGGAATATACAGAAAACGAAGACCAACTACCATAGTTAATCAGGATAACCAGATAGTGCTGAGTGAAAAGGAGAAAATTGATATATGGGAAAATTATATCCAGGAGCTCTTCCATGATGAAGGACCAATGATTGAAGTTTATACAGACGACCAGCTGACTGGCCCTTCAATCACCAAATCACCCTTCAAATCCCGTCAGAAATACTCAAATTACTGAATGAAAGGGGAATTTCAGCACTACACAAAATATTTAACTTAATTTATGAAACTGGCTGCTATTCTCAACAGTGGTAACGCTCTACCTTTATTCCCCTGCTCAAGAAAGTCAATGAGTCACACTTTAAAGATATTCTTAAAAATACTACATCAAAGATTATACAAAAAATGTGAATGGGACATCAGTGACTCCCAGTTCGGGTTTAGGCAAGGTTTAGGAACACGAAAAGCAATAGTAGCAACACAGGTGCTGGTCCAAAATTGTTACGATCAGAAGAAGGATGTGTTCCTATGCTTTTTGGATTACCAAAAAGCGTTTGATCGTGTCCAACACCACAAGTTAATGCAGATCCTCAAGAAAGTTGATATAGACCAAAAAGACTAGTCTTTCTAGAGTCTTTGGAGGATGCAAAGATGGGAATCAAAGTGAATGGAGTATTGATCAACAACATACGATATGCTGATGATGGTGTCTTAATTTGTGACAACATAGTCGATCTTCAACAACTTGTCACTATAATCGGAGAATACAGTAAGCGAATGGGATTAGAGATTAATACCAAAAAAACCAAATTTATGATCATCTCCAGAAACTTGGATGCACTTGAAAACTCCACCATAACACTGAATACTAAGTCCATTGAAAGAGTGAGTAAATTTAAATACCTGAGATCGTGGCTTTTTGAAGACTGTGCATCGGACAGGGAAGTAAAATGTCGCATTGAGCAAGCTCGACAAGCTTTCGTAAAATTCAAGAAGGTACTGACTTGTTCAGAGTTCGATCTTCAACTGAGACTAAGGTTTACTAAGTGCTACGTGTGGTCAGTGCTGCTATATGGCGTAGAGGGCTGGACACTCAAAACGAGGGATATAAACAGATTAGAAGCTTTCGAAATGTGGCTCTATCGCCGTATCCTAAAAATACCATGGACAGCGAAAATCACAAATATAGATGTCCTTAAAAGAATAAACCAAGAACGCCAACTTTTCGAAACCATCAAGAAAAGGCAAACGGCGTATCTAGGTCACATCATGCGAAATGAAAAATACCAGTTCCTCCAACTTATAATCGAGGGTAAAATTGAAGGCAAGAGAGGAATGGGACGCAAGAAAATGTCGTGGCTCCGAAACATAAGGCAATGGACAGGGATTAACGACATACAATTCTGATACATATTGCAAGAAATAGAGAATTAATGGAAAATGTGATCGCTAACATCCATTAGTGGATTTGCATCTGAAGAAGAAAAAACTTGGAGAAAATGAAGGAAATGATAGTTTGGGACATCTACAACCCGACTATTTTGGAGAGCTCCCAACAAAGCAAGGATAAACGTCGGCTTCAGGCCGTTGAGTACCGTCGGTGTTAAATAGCTTTATGAGTTCAGCATATGCATTGTCAGGTCCAGTAGCTTTGCCATCTTTTAGTTGTGATATTGCTTTTTCCCTTTTTGCTTTTTGAGAAGATCAAGAGTTCAGAGTTCAAGACTCGCAATCGTCTATAGTACAGCTACCTAGGGGACCCGAAATTTATCTAATATAGACATCTACTTTTATGGATCTATTATCAATAACGATCACATTTCTGGTTCGGAATAGAAGATTGAGAGTCTCTTGGAATGATTAAAGAAGTCAAATTTTCTAATACAGATGTGATTTCGTAGAAAGTCGTAGATAAAGCAGAATGTACAGAAAGTTTTAAAAAATTAATATAAAACGAATGTGTATATAGTTCCAACGAAGATGAAACTAAGACCATTTGACACGTCCCACTACCATCAATTAAACCCCAAAATACCATTAATATGCAATTCCGTCGATTCTGTACTCGATCCGGCTCTATTTTGAGCCACACATGTATAATTTCCGGAATGTGCTTCACGTACATCGTCTATCGTTAGAGAACTAACTTTCTTACTGACTTGGGAAATGACGATCCCGTCACCGTACTCGATTCTTTTGCTGTTATGAAACCAAGTGATATTAATCGGCAGATCTCCTTTGAAGACTGTACATTGCAATGACGCCACGTCTCCCGAGTTGACGGACTCCTCGCCAAAGTTAAAAGGTAAAATTTGAGGGATAGCTGTAATAAATAAACGATTCAAACAGCAAATTGACATGCTTTGAATACTATGATATAACCAAATACCATTGATACTAAGGATAGTGGAAAATTCTGAAACCCCAGCTTTGTTTTTGGCAACACAGGTGTACGTTCCTGAGTGTTGTTCTTTTACAGATTCTATGGTGATAGAGCTAGCTTTTTTGCCGACCTTAGTGATCTGAATTCCGTCATTTTCCGTGAGACTTCTGTTGTTATGGTACCAAGTTATGGTAAGAGGCAAGTCTCCTTTATGTACTGAACATTGGGTAGATGTGTAGTCCCCGGAATTAACCGTTTCTTCTCCAAAATCAAATGGAGTTATGATTGGAGGAACTAAAAGTTTTTTTAATTAAATTGTTGGACAAAATTTATCCATATTTCATTATAGTATCCCTTTGTATTCATAAAAGAGAATCATATAATAAATTTGTTCTTTTTGGATAAATGTAGGAATTTGTGTCATAATAAATATACCTAAAATAATGAAAATATTACTAACTACTATAAAAATTACTATCTACGATCATTATGATTCACCATTAACGTTTAGTTCCACAGAAAAACTGGCAGATCCCGCTGTATTTTGTGCTAGGCAAGTATAGACTCCAGCATGATCCTCACTTACAGACTCAATAGTAAGACTACTGACTTTTTTTCCATTTTGTAAAATGAGTATGCCACTATTGTAGCCAATAGTTTTGTTTTTGTGCAGCCAGGTAATATTTAGAGGGAAGTCTCCTTTATAGACCGTGCAAGTAAGGGAAGCTACATCGCCCGAATTTACAGATTCTTCCCCAAAGTTAAAAGGGAGAATTTGGGGAGACACTGAAAGATGTTTAAAACAAATTCAAAAATAAATAAGGGCAATAATTTGTCTTAAGGGAGGCCTATGATATCCCCTATCTGTTTGTTTTAATCAAAAATAATACATCGAGTGGTTTTATTTATTTTAAGTTCTTTGTAGATGAAGATATATTTGTAAACATTATCTCTTGGTACGTACTACTAAATGTACTAGTATAGTAGTGCAATGAACGGTGTATAATTGAAGTAATCTGGGGCTCAGGAGACTAAGGCCCCAGAAGCCTTGATGGAGACTGCAGAGAGGAAGTCGGAAGCTCAGTGTATTCAAATCAAATTCGGCACAGTTCAACGCGAAAGCCAGTTTAATTGTACTAAAAGCAGAAGCCTTTCCAAACGTTATTCAATCAGTATCAAGAGCCTTTGCACCACTCTTTATCAAATGCTTTTGAAATGTTTGGGAAAATAGCTAAGCATATTTTATTTTCCATCGATAGATCTCTTTATAATATTTGTTTGAATATTAATATAATTGAATAATTTGAAAAAGCATTTGAGCAAGTAAAATATTACAAAAACGGTTTTCGAGTATGGATACTGTTACTTTTAAGTTCTATGAAGGCTCTATGAAGACATTTTAATATGAATATTTTTCTTTTACTGTCCTTCTTGCATCATTTGAATTACCGAGACTATTACAAAAGTTTTGATAAAAAAAATACAGACGTTGATCACATAATTGACAGGTTTTCTGTAAGTCTGTAATAAATTAATCAATATCCAATCTTTTTCTGCCACTTAAACTTCTCCACGTCCGTCCCACATGTATTTTTACGTGAAAGACTACTGTGGCTTAGACTAACAGAACCTAATAGTATTTTTCATACTAAAATCATGTTACGTCATGATTTATAGAAACTAACGTCATTTGTATTTAAAAGGTATTACAATAACACAAATGTAATCGTGATTACAATGTGAATTTTAGAGTTATATTGATTAATATACAAAAACATTTCTTATTATTAATAATATAAATTTTAATGAACAATATTTAACATTAATAATCCAAAAATAATTATTTTAATTAAATAAATTAGAATAAAACTCCAATGACATTTGAATGTGTGGCAAGAATGTTTACAGCGTTGACCATAATTTACAATCCTATAGATTACTTTTTCAAAAACAATCTATAAAATTATTCGTGATGTTATTTACGACATGTACAAAACAATTTCAAAATATACTTAGAGAAAGCCTTGACGTACATGGAAGAGAAAATTGCTGAACATGTAGTAGATGTACCGGTATGAAACGAATACCTATATACGCTAAGCTTGACAGACGATCAAGTAGTGATTGCACAAGACCAAGAACACCTCAGTTGCATGATGAAGAAACTACAAGAAAAATATACCAAGGCTGGACCTAGATATAAACTTCGCGAAAACAGAATACCTATCTACAAGTGAAGAAGACATAGAAGATCTACAGATTGATTATAACGTTACAATCAAAGGAAAGGATAAATTAAAATACTTGGGTTTATAATCACGAAAAAGGCAACAACGAGAGGAAGAAATTAAGCAAAGATTAGGACAAACAGGAACAGTAATCCGACAACTTAACTCAGTATGGTGGATAACACCTAAATATGAAGACAAAAACACAGATTTATAAAACATTAGTGCGAAGTATTATGACATATGGGGCTGAAAATTGGATTATAAACAATAAAAACAGCAGTAAGATAGTAAGTAGCAACAGAGATGGAATGCCTGCCAAGATGCTGCAGAATAACAAGAATGGATAGGAGAAGTAATGACGAAATAAAGCAAAGACGACCCCGAAGATCCTGGAGGAACGAAGTAGACGACGCCATGAGTAAGAGAGGCCTAAACGATGGAGAATGAGACAACAGAGAGAGATGAAAACGGTTGAGCGAGGAAAGGCAGTGAATACTGTAGAATCCCTAAATATATATACAAAACAAGTAAGAACTTTGACAAAATAAGAAATGTAGACAGAATGATTGTTCTTAAGAAATGTTTATTAATTATATATAGTGTGTTCTTTGAAGAAAAACAGGTAATTTTAAAAGTATTAAACAAACAACTTGGTTACGAAGCAGATATTTGATGGTTCTATTCCATCATTATGGAAGTATTAAAGAATTGGGTTTCAGGCGGGAAAAAAATTCACCAAGGCGTGGACTTATGGAACTTCCTAGTATTGCAGTAAAGAGAACTTTATTTTTAACAAATTATATTTTAGAGAAGGAAGCATCTTTGTATATGTTTGCTTTCATTGATGAAACATGGATCTTCCAAAATGGAACAATATGTCGTCCATGGCGAAATGAAGACAAACGAAGTGTCAGAACTACACAAACAGATGGCTAAAGGTTAGTCACATTAGTCAATTCGTTAAGTATATATTATTATCAGCATTGGGTTTATTAGGTTTATAAAACTTTTCATTTTTTTTTACAGATATCTGATAATCAATGCTGGTAGTGAGGATGGATTTATTGACGGTGCACAAGCGATATATTCTTCAAAAACCCAACCATCTGATTACCATCGGTATTGAATGAATTTCTATTCTGAATAAGATAACTTTCTACACTGGCTTGAAGAGCAATTACTAAAGAACCTTGTACAATCTAACTAAGAAAATCATACATTTTCAGTTAATATGTTTAAATGTGAACTGGAAATGGTTAAACAGTATGTGATTTTACACGCATGCTAATAAAATATAAAATGAAATCATTATATAAAATTTGGTATACATAAATGAAAATCATTCTGTTTTAGAAATAAGCCACCTCGTGCGTATATGATAGACCATTTAGTTGAGCAATATGGACACAAAATGCTACTTCTTCCTCCCTATCATTGCATTTTTAACTTTTGAACTGATTTGGAGCCTTTCCAACAATATTACAAGAGGCTTATTGGTAGAGATAGTAATACAGAACAAGATTGTTTGAATATGTTGTCTATGCTCTAAAGCATTCTGACAATTACTCCTCAAGTATGCTATATAACATTGTGAAAAGCAAATAATAAAATGGTACGAAAGAGAAAGAATACAGATCATAAATAGAAATCAGATAACAGCTGAACTTCAAGGGGAGATCCTTAATCTTTAATGTTTGTAGAACATGTCGTGCTGAAAGGAAATTTTAAGATACTAAGTTTCTGCATAAATTACTTAATTCCAAGATTGACTGAACTGTCTTTAATTGATTTTAATATCCTTTCCAGATTTACTGGGTTATTTTAAAATGTTACAGTCAAGTGTGGGGTTCTGAAATCGTAAATCTTAAATGACGTATCATAATTTTAGTATGAAAAATACTATAGAGGGACAGCGATCAGATTTCTGAGATTACATTGATTGCTGAGCTCAAGTTGCCAGAAAAAAACTTGAAAATGTATTTTCAAAAAAATCCAATCAAAATTACCAAAAACAAATATATTGTGCTTGGTTATCCTCTATTATTATTTTACAGATTGTTCTTAGTAATGACTATAAATTCGTATTAATGGTGTTCAAAAATAGAAACTTAAGGGTTAGATAAAGGTTGTTTTGGTTTGTATAAACTTAATTACTAAATAATAATAGCTTCTCTAAAAAATTGGGAAACAGAAATCAAAAAATAGACGTCGCAAAGAAATATAAATACCATTCACATTCAAATCAACTGAAAAAACTGAAGATCCTGCGGAATTTTGAACCAAGCACGAGTATTTTCCTATGTGCTCTTCACTTACTGACTCTATAGTAAGACTGCTAACTTTCTTTCCGTTTTGCGAAATCAAAATTTTGTCGTCGATGCCGATACTCCTGTTATTATGTAACCAAGTGATGTTTAGGGGAAAATCTCCTTTGAAGACTGTACACTGTAAGGATGCCACGTCGCCTGAATTAACTGAGTCTTCTCCAAAATTGAATGGAAGTATTTGAGGGGGTACTGAAATTTTTAAAAATTGTACGAGTATATGAGGTACCTTACTTTGCAGAAACTTGCTATATAGCTATATTATTTAAAGTTCCGAAAAAACTTGCTTCAAATTGAAGAAAGCCTATATTGTTTGGATTGGACATGATTTCTAAGTTCACTTTTGTATATTTTTTATGTTTTAGCAATACAGGCATGCAAATTTTGACTTTTGGTTTAAGAGGCCAAATTTTATTAATACGCCCTAATATTATTAGTAACATTTACTCAAAGGTAATGGTAAGGTCTCAGGACCAGGTGACATAATGATAAAATATGGAGATGACCAGTTAATAGAGCATTTAATGGGATTATTTAATATATGTATAATTGAATGCCTCCATCTCCCGATGGAAAAATAAAAAATCAGATAGATCACGTCTTAATTGAAAGCCAATATGATAAGGCAATAATCGATTGCAGGAGTTAAAGAGAGACAGATACCAAGAGTGACCATACACTAATAATAGCAAAACTAAAACAAGAACTACCAATAATTCCAAAACCTGTTAGAGATAGATTAAATTACCAATTAGGGCAACTTCAAGAGAAGCAGGTAAAAAACAGACTAGAGGAAGAAATAAATAAAAAATTAGAGAATCCAGTCAAACAGGATATAGAAGAAGAGAGGCAGACCATACAGACAGCCATGTCGAAAGCAGCGGAAAAGTGTATAGGAAGAGACCATATAAAAAGGCGGCAAGACTGGTTCGATGAAGAATGTAGGAATGCTTTGGCAAAAAGAAACAGGGCAAAATTACAAAGAGATAAAGAAAATACCCAAAATGCGATCGAAAAATATGTGGCAAGAAGAAGAGAAGTGAAAAGAATTTGCAGAAAAAAAAGAGAACAGCTAGAAAGCAATTAAAAACATAGAAGAACCCTACATGAACACAGAGATAAAGAAATTCTACTGAGAAGTTAACAAATCCAGAGAAATTACAAAGAATAATCCACAGTATTCCAGAAACAAAGAAGGATTACTTCTGGGTGAAACAACAAAAAAATGGGCAGAATATTTTGAAGATCTATTAAATACAGACCAACAAGAGGAACTTGAGGGAAATGAGAATTGGCAAGAAGATAAAGAAGGGACGTGCGAGGAACCAACTTAGATTGAAGTCAAAGAAATAATAAGAGACCTAAAAAATAACAAAAGTGCAGAAAGAAGTGGTATCCCACTGAGATTTTTAAGGAAGGTGGCGAAAGATTGAAGGAAAGCATATTTCACTTGACACTAATAATTTGGCAAAATGAAGAAATGCCGAAACAATGAAATACTGCTCTTATTTATCCTATCTATAAACAGGGAAACAGGAAACGGAGTGCGAAAACTATAGAGGTGTAGCACTATTAGAAGTAGTCTATAAAATACTTGCAAAAATTATTAGGAAAAGATTAATAAAATATGACAACAAAGTGATTGGAGAATACCATGGGGTTTTAGACCCGGCAGAACAACTACTGATCAAATAAATATGTTAAAATTAATACAAAATAATATCTACGAACAAAACTTAGGGTTACATATATGCTATTTATTGATTTTAAACAAGCGTATGACTCCCTAAAGCGAACGATGCTATATGAGGCTATGAAAACATTAGAAATACCAGAAATACTTATAAGGCTAGTGAGAATGACTCTTAGGAACACGATAAATGGGGTAACAATGGAAGGAAGCTTTTCAAGACAGTTTACAGTGAATAGAAGTTTAAAACAAGGGGATCGGCTATCAACGAATTTATTCAACCAAGTAACCAACCAATTTATTCAACCAAGCAACCAACCATTAGAACAAATCTTAAGAAGATCAAATATGAGCACAAACAGGACTATAGTGATACTAGCGAAAACAAAAACCATTTAGAAAAAGTTTTGCAGACATTTGAAGAAGAAGCGAAAAGATACGGATTAATAATAAACCAAACAAAAACACAATATATGGAAATGAGAGAAGACATAACAAATATATCCAAATGAAAGGAGCAGAGACTGTCTATAGTTTTGAAAAAGTGTCAGAATTTGAATATTTAGGAGTAACCATAACGAACACGGGAAAAGAAGTAAAAGAGATAGACAAAAGATTAATAAAGGGAAGCAGAGCGATAAATTCATTATGAAAGCAAAAAATGTGTAAATAACAGCTAAACTGCGAGTCTACGAGACAGTAATCAGACCAAGAGTGATGTATGCCAGTGAAACGTGGATTAGGAACCAGCAGGAAGAAATGAAAGTAGAGATCTGGGAAAGAAAGGTACTCAGAAAAATCTTCTGAGGAATAAAGACGGCAGAGAATATTTGGAGAAGATAAACAAATAAAGGAAAATGAGGATGTATGTAAAACCAGCAATTACGGCAAAAATACGAGCCCAAAGAGCTAGATAGCTTGGTTATATTATGCGAATGTCAGGGAATCGAAATGTTATAATAATACTGAAGGAGGGAGGAATGGGGGAAAAAGAAGAGAACGTCCAAAGAAGAAATGGTTGGAAGCAGTAAAGCAAGACTTATCAGAAATAGGAAGGAAATAACCAAGTTTTTAAAAGTCAGGGGCCTACAAGGCATGTAGCGCTGTTAGATATATGACCAAACATTTATTGCACAGGACTCCTACGATCTGAAATATATGGTTAGAAGATTATACTGAGAATGTAAAGGACGGTAACTCAACATCAGTTTGCAAAAAACGAACACTTAGTGGTTAACTCGCAAGCTAATTTAAAGATTTTGACTGTTAGTGACGTGGAGGTAACATAGAAAAAACCTGTAAATATCTGGAAGCAATTGTAACAATAGAAGGGCTACGAACAGAGGAAATTAGACACTGAATAGAATATGCAAAAAAGTAATTGGAAGCTTTAATTCAGTATGGTGCGATTGACACACTATAGCATTATAAGAGTGAGAATGCGGTGTAAGCAGTTCAATTATATGGTCTGAAGTACCGTTAACGTTCAAATAGGCAGAGTGCTTGACAATCCCAGCGTTATTCTCAGCAATACAAACATACTCTCCGGAATGGTGAGCTGTAGCAGACTCTATCGTCAATTGGCTCACTTTCTTATTAGTATTTGCAGCCACGACTCCTTCGAACTTATTAACGGTTTTTCCGTTCAACGTCCACCTTATTTTCAGCGGAAAATCTCCCTTTGATACTGCACACGTGGCGGTTACTAAATCCCCAGAGTTTATAGCTTCGTCGCCGAAATTGAACGGGTGGATCTGTGGGGGAACTGAGTACATATATGTTATAAGAATGATATTTCGGTAGAAATCGAATATTTTTAGATTTGGTTTATGAGGAAAATAAAAATAATACTCTATATTATATGATAATGATTGTGTAATCTTCTGATCAAGTAAAAAAATATAATGAAATTCGTTTCAGGTTTGATTTTTTTAAATTAAAGTCTAGATGAATGTATCAATTTGAACATTGAAAAATTCTCATATTTTGTATACAAATGACTTGTATAGCTGCTGTTAAAATTCAAGTTTCTTCAGAAGTTTCCACTATTTTTTAAATAAAATTTATGTAAAAAACTTTCATACAAGACCTGTTAAATTAAATTTCATTAATAATTTAGTTAAATACATTTAACTTTTGTTTAAAATTTTGTTTTTGAAATTTTTTAGTAGTACAAAGTATTTCAAAAACCTTAAATGTGAATTACTTGAATCTATATTAACCGTCAGTTAAGGGAGGCCCTTAAAGTTTTATATACATTTAAGTCAACTTTGGAAATAGCTGGATCCTCAATTTCAAAATATATGCATTGGAAGAAAGATTGTCGTGTATTAATAACATTGGCAATGTGCAAGTGAGTTTGGAAAGATAAAACTATAAAAACATGTCGACAAGCATTTCTGGAAGGATATTCAACTGGTCTCAAGGAACCAACAGGTAAAGGTCGACGATTAATTGTTACCCATATAGGTAGTACTATGAGTGGATTTCATAAGGAGGGTTTACTTTTGTTTGAATAAAAAAAGACCTGTGATTATCACGAAGAGATGAACGGAGACGTGTTTGAAAAATATTTCTAACAGATGATTGAATTCATACCTAAAAATTCAGTTATTGTGATGGACAATGCAAGTCACCACTCTAGATTAGTTGAACGTTTATCAACTACTCAATGGAGGAAAGATGAAATTGCAATGTGGTTAACTTCTAAGAATTTAATCGTTGACGATACAATGACAAAAGCAGAATTATTATAGCTTGCTAAAATTAATAAACAAAATTATAAAAAATATGTCATTAAGGAGATAGCCAAAAAACAAGGAATTGAAATACTTCGCCTACCACCGTATCATTGCGAGCTAAATCCGATTAAATTAGTATGGGCCGAAGTTAAAAGTAACGTTGCTCGAAATAATACAACTTTTAAATTGTAAGATGTTACTAATGTTTTTCATAAATCAATATCCGAAGTAACGACTGAACATTGGTAAAAATGTATTAATCACGTTATGGATATTGAGAAATAGTGGAGCTGATCATATAAGATAGCAGTATAGACCTATAATTCATTCCGGATCGGATAACACTTCGTCTGAAACAAAATATGAGGAAGCTTAACTGTAAACTGTAGCTCAGAAGTTTATTTTACATTTGAAGTAATTACCGTCAACTTCATTGTTTATTATTTATTTATTTTTTTATTACTAATATAATTTTCATTCTTATTTCCAATATTATTAGTATTTGCTGAGAATTTGCTCTAGCTTATTTTTCAAATATACTATAGGCATATTAAATCAATGAAACATATAAAAGGTAAAAATTTGCAAATCATTACAATGTAATGGAATATTTTAATTAAAAATGGTGTACATATTTGAATCAGATCGGGTAAATATTTAAAGGTATGGTAAAAAAGAAGGAATAACACAAAGTAACCGGTGTAAACAAACTGATACTACCGTTCACATTTAAATAAGCCGATTGTTTGGCCGCTCCGGCGTTGTTTTCCGCAACACAAACATACTCCCCGGAGTGATGAGCTTGTGCCGACTCTATAGTCAATTGGCTCACTTTTTTGTTTGTATTAGCTATTACCACTCCATCAAATTCATTCGTGTTGCGATTGTTTAGCGTCCATTTAATTTTTATAGGAAAGTCGCCCTTGGAGACGGCGCAGTTAACGGTCACTAATTCGCCTGAATTAATTGCTTCGTCGCCGAATGAGAAAGGGTGGATTTGGGGAGGTACTGTAATTCAATCAATAGACGTTTATATATATATATATATATATATATATATATATATATATATATATATATATAATATATATATATATATATATATATATATATATATATATATATATGTATATATATATATATATATATATATATATATATATATATATATGTATATATATATATATATATATATATATATATGTATATATATATTATATATATATATATATATATATATATATATATATATATATATATATATATATAGTAAACTCTTAAATATTGGGGAAATCTGCAAGAAAAACTCTAATGTGTATCAATTGTTTCGCCTAACGTTTTCGCCAAAGAGAATTAATTTGGCTTCTTCAGGGCTGAAAGAGAATAAATTATAATTAGCTACCATATATTATCTAATAAAAAACATTTACCTTACCGTAAATTTTAGAAATGTCGAGTTATGATGTTAAAAAACTTTAGCTAGTAACAACATAGTGGTGTTTTTTTTGTTACTATGTGCAAAAAAGTGTTTTTGTTAACGTTGGAAATGTATGGTAGCTTTGAACTTAAAACGCAAAGGTTTACCCAAGGTTAATCGAAAAACCCAATGTAACTACATTTAAAGGAAGTAATTCTTTGAATTGTCGGCAATAACTAAATTTTTGATTGTTATAAAGTTTGAATGTAGAGCTTCTGTTTTCATAGAACGCAAGCGCTGACAATTACAAGTAGTGCTTTTGAATATTTATGTCGTTAAGGTTCATTGGTAAAACGGATGAAATTCTTTTTTAATTAGTATATTGTTCATGTATTATTATAATAATATCTTATTGAGATGTATCTAAGAAAAGCAAGGGAATGTTATCTTTTTTAGTTAATGAAAATTATTATTAAAGTAGGTTAGATGTTAATAGATATATCAGTCAAGTTAGTTATCTATCTGATATATGATAACTGATATATCTATTAACAACTAACCTACTTTAATAATAATTTTCATTAACTAAAAAAGATAACATTCCCTTGCTTTTCTTAGATACATCTCAATAAGATATTATTATAATAATACATGAACAATATACTAATTAAAAAAGAATTTCAATTAAGAAAATTCTAAACTAATATCTCCCCAGACTGGGATCTAACTTCATCGGTTTTACCAATGAACCTTAACGACATAAATATTCAAAAGCACTACTTGTAATTGTCAGCGCTTGCGTTCTATGAAAACAGAAGCTCACATTCAAACTTTATAACAATCAAAAATTTAGTTATTGCCGACAATTCAAAGAATTACTTCCTTTAAATGTAGTTACATTGGGTTTTTCGATTAACCTTGGGTAAACCTTTGCGTTTTAAGTTCAAAGCTACCATACATTTCCAACGTTAACAAAAACACTTTTTTGCACATAGTAACAAAAAAACACCACTATGTTGTTACTAGCTAAAGTTTTTTAACATCATAACTCGACATTTCTAAAATTTACGGTAAGGTAAATGTTTTTTATTAGATAATATATGGTAGCTAATTATAATTTATTCTCTTTCAGCCCTGAAGAAGCCAAATTAATTCTCTTTGGCGAAAACGTTAGGCGAAACAATTGATACACATTAGAGTTTTTCTTGCAGATTTCCCCAATATTTAAGAGTTTACTATTTAACTTATCTGCAAAGATTAAATTTTTTTTCTATATATATATATATATATATATATATATATATATATATATATACATATATATATATATATATATATATATATATATATATATATATATATATATATATATATATATATATACAAAGGTTTACGACGGTTTTTCAAATTTTTAATAGGTTTTAGCATAAAATTTAATAAACTTCCGGGGATACGTTCTTCAAGTATTTTAACTTTTAATTTGTTTCTAAAAAGATACGGGAAGCAAAACAATTTCTTCATAACTTTGTACATAATATAGTAGGTCTAACTGGTAAGCTGGTTTTGTATGTTTTCAATAAAATTGATTTAGAAGTGTGTACAAGTCTTACAGTCTTTTTCAATTCATAATATAGTAGCCTAGGAGGACAAATTTGTTAACCTTTCCGTGCTCGAATCGGTATTAATAGAGTGTTGTGACTCATTTCAGCAACCCTGCTTCATCAGATCCTCGGGCTCATATAAATTCAAACTCGAAAAGTCCAATGAATAAACGATTTAATAATATCAGTTTGCATCCTCTGAGCTATACGAAATGTGTAAAATATTAAATCTTTTAGCAAACGCTGCTATCGCTTTTTGAACTGAATGGTCAAACATATGGCCTAGGAGAACAAATTCGTTAATTCGTTAATTTCCGTGCTCGTATCACGGTATCATTAGAGTGTTATGACTCATAATAACTTTCCGAGTTTGAATTTATATCTGTCCGAGTGTCTAATGAATCAGGGATGCTGAAATGAGTCATAACACTGTATTGATATCGATTCGAGCACGGGAAGTTTAATGAATTTGTCCTCCTCGACTATATATTTGGCTATTCATTTCAACAAAGCCTTAGTAGCTTTTATATATGTATATATTCAGGATGAACCGCGTCGATATCACTGTGCCGATCTTTCGACATCCTCTCTGATAGCTTTTTCAGGGCTTCCAAAGCCTCAGTCGCCAATCCCCGCGCCAATCCCCACGCCAACCCCCAGGCCAACCACCACCCACACCACGTCACCATCGACGGTTAAAATGAATTGTCTGCTGTTCCCAGTAGCAGTAAGGCATTGATTAGTGATCAGTTATTAGTGATGGGATGTAATTGGATAGTGAAGCGCAACATATAGCCACTCCTATTCAAATGTCAACCTCACTGCTCGTATGATGATCTAGATCATGGTCTTCTGATACATCCTGCTAGATAACTAACGAGGCTCTGACGTCCGAGTATTTGCCGGGATAAGCAACCCACCATTTACTGGCCAACGGCTTAAGGCGGATGAGCTAGTAAGTGGAAGGACACTCTGTTGTCCTGAGACTGAGAAATTGGTCTCGAAGGCGGAAGAAC